AAAATGAGCACATCACTAAACCAGTGTATTGCAAGGAACATCCTATTGTTTTTGGGTTAAATAATAAGCATAATAAATATAAAGAACATAAACATCATCATCATAATCTGTTAATTTTAACTCAATAAGATAGTAAGATAGTAAACTCTCCTCATTCATAGGAAAATAGCACTACTTGTTCAAAAATGCTTCACTGGGATATCTCTTTGTTATGTATCTGCTGCCTTTTTATCAGTTCCTCTACTGAAATACTGCTCATAGGGTTTTAAATAACAGTGCAGCAACCATTTGTCAGGATTTAACCTCTGGTTTGTGGGCTTTGTGGGACATGGTGGCGCTGTGGGCTAAACCGCAGAAGCCTCTGCTGCAGGGTCAGAAGACCAGCAGTCGTAAGATCGAATCCACGCAACGGAGTGAGCTCCCATTGCTTGTCCCAGCTCCCGCCAACCTAGTGGTTCAAAAACATGCAAATGCGAGTAGATAAATAGGGACCACCTTGGTGGGAAGGTAACAGCGTTCCGTGTCTAAGTCGCACTGGCCATGTGACCACGGAAGATTGTCTTAGGACAAAACGCTGGCTCTGTGGCTTGGAAACAGGGATGAGCACCGTCCCCTAGAGTCGAACACGACTGGACAAAAATTGTCAAGGGGAACCTTTACCTTTTACCTTGTGGGCTTTGTATTGGAATGAATCTGACTAGTGCCAGATTCCTGGGTTCCTCAGTCTATCAGTATTTGTTCTTTTTTTCAGTGACTGGGTTTTAAACACAGCTCTTTCTTTGCCCTGGACTGAAACTTCTGCCTATAAAGAAAGTCATATATTGCTAAGCTATAGCCACTTTCTCTTTTTATTAGCCAGCACACCACCTTCAACTACTCCCCCATGTAGTTTAGAATCCATGTATAATTCTTATGCCCTCAAAACCTCCTGGCCTGCATGAAGCCACCCTGACTGGAGAGAGAGCTGGCCAAGCCACCACCAAGACCCACCTCTCTCTGGCCACTGCCTGGAGCTGAATAGCAGCACAATATTCATTGAATATTTATTTATTTATCTATCTATCTGTCTGTCTGTCTGTCTGTCTATTTATTTAAAAATGTGTACAACTAAAATTGTGCTGCTCAGATTCATGCAATTCAAGGGAGAAGTGTGTTGCTCAACACCTCAACATGGGAGTAGAAATGCATATCTTTCTTTGGAGTTCTAACGGTGTTTTTTTTAAAGGTTTTTTTACAACCTATTGACCCTTGATACCCTTGTGGTGATGTTACGGAAAATGATTACTTTTCCTCTGTGGAAATAGATAAAATATTGTAGTTTCAGACTCTACACTTATTTCTTATAACATAAAGAACAGGTTTTGAGCTCAGCATTTATAGTTGTGACATGGAGGTAATAACAGTAAACAGCCTTGTCCATGGTCATTTTGACAGAAACATTATGAGAGGTTGCATGAGGTTTACATAACTTACTGTACTAAACAACAACATGCCAGAATGTATCTTAGGTGTGCAACTTGATGCAGGACCAGGTACATAATCAAGACACACCCAGCACCTTGTCCATTTACTGTAATTAAGCCTGGCAGGTTATACAAACCTTACATAAGCACTAATAGCATTCCAGCTATAGTCTCTCAGTTGCCCAGTCACTCCAAAAGTAAAAGAATCACTCCCAAAAGCCGTAAAAGTAAAAATATTTATTTATTTTACTAAATGTACTGCAAAATGTCATATGGCAACCCATGGCTTCACAGGTTAGGACTACCTAAGAAAGTTGTGGAAGAGTAAGATACAAGATGTACTGTTATTTTTTTAAAGGGCTGTTAAGCGTGTTTGAATAGTTCTGTTGGTGGAGGGTTAAAGAATATAGCTCTGGCAACCGCCCACATCACTCATTTCATTCATATTCATAGGCTGATTTGCATGAACCTATGAGAGGGCTGGAGAAGTGGAGTCAGCAGCTACATGAGGCTTGGAGGGAGAAGGAGTCAGATAGAGATTGGGACGAGATACAGATAGAGATAGAGCTGGTTAGTCAGAGGGGGGGGGAATGGATACTGAGATAGATAGGGTTAATCAGAGAGATAGAGATGATTAGGAAAATAGGTAGAGAAGGTGGCAATGATATCCCAAGAGAAAAGAAGTACGTACTGAGAGAACTGTTGATGAATTGCTTATGTATAATGTGTATCTGAGAAACATCTGTTATTATTCAATCTGCTTCACTTCAATAAATAAGTTCTGTTTCTGTTCACAAGACAAGTGTTCTGACATAGGTCATTTATATTGTGGATTGAAGCAATCCACTGGTGACAGCAAAGAAGAAAACGTGCGAGCCTTTGTGAGGGGCCACAAGGGCAAATGCCACAATAGTGAATCAACATTGGTGACTCAGAAGGAGGTTTTGCTTCTGTGCAGTTGCTTAATCACAGGAGGCTGCAAAAATTGACTTTGAAAAATGATCATTATATTGTGCCCCAAAAAGCTCATCTATTTGTTTCAAAATATATTTTATTGCTGCTTTGGGATATATAGTAGTCCAAATTGTTATCAGTCTTGTATTGCATTTCCTTTATATCTGATTTGTATCATATTTCATACATAAACTGGCTACATTTTATTATAGTTGATTACCCTTGTGGGAAAATACCCATTCTGGCAAAAAAACAGCCGACCCGGCAGGGAAGGATTGTAGGTGGTTATACCTGTCCTCCAGGTGAATGCCCATGGCAAGTAAGTGCCTTTTCTTTTCTTTTCTTTTCCTTTCCTTTCCTTTCTTTTCTTTTCTTGCCTTTGTCAATAGAAATTCACTGAAGTATTATCAAAAAGATAAAAGAAAAATTTCAGATACACACTTCAGTTTGCTATGAAAAGTGACTCCAAAGCGTCTAAAGGCTACTTTTTATCCATGCAATAATTATTAAACAAATTAAGACTTCATGCTGTTTTCACAATAGAACTTAAAGGTTCCACATTTTTATTTCCTGTTTTGTTTTTCTAAAAGTTTTTTAATAATTGGAAATACAGTCTATGTTGCCTAGAGACATTTGCACTTGGCAGTATTTCTGTGACTATATCCTTCCTGCCTTCAGCTAATGAAAACTTAGTTTCCCTGAACATTTAAGTATATTCAATTCATTTTGGAACACTCTCTGTACCTATTCGTCTTCAGTCTGTATCTTCAATTCAAAAAGGTTACAGAAGGTTCCCATTATGATTTAAAAATTGCTGCTTGTTATCTTTCAGTCAGGCAGCTGGTTAACCTGGGTATTCCCATCATTTTTTGGAAATCATCAGCCACTTCATTAATTAAAATATTTATCTTCTTTCCATTTCTTTACTGTCACTGTACTGGCAGCTGTTAGTAGATTCTGTACTGCCTCCTTGCCTTTGGATATAATTTTCCCGTTGACATAACCCAATGGAACAATGTAAGAGATCAAGATGGACCACTTCATCCCCCTCATGGGTGCTGAAGTGGTTATGCACTCTGGGGAATCCTCAGCTCTGGTTCCAATCTTTAGTTACCTGGCATGGGGAGGTAAAGGGGTGTGTTGGCTGGTAGGTGGGCCACCCAATGTAGGGATCCATTCCTCCCACTGCACCAAATTTATTCTATTGTAATCAGTCAAAGCTGTAACCTTTCATTTATGCACAATTTCCCCTTGAAATCCTTAAATATTAAGGATTGCATATTTATTGACAGATGGGAGGCACTGGACAGGTCCTCTTGTCTGGGTCTACAATATACTACTCTCATTCCCAGGTAGCTATGCTATTTTTGCTGGGAAACCCACAAGCCAAGCAGGAAGTCAGCAGCACCCATTCATGTTTTGCAGTAGCTGCATTCAAAAATTAACTGCTTGTGTTCTTGTAGCCATTATCCTCTTTCAAAGCTGTATACATTGGTAGCTATGACCAGATCTTGTGGAGGCTAATTCCATAGTTTAATTATAACCACACTGGATTTGATTTGAAATTTGTATTACATTTGAAATCCCAGTCAGTGTTCACACGGGCTGTGGATTGGATCAGGAGTTTGCCCTTCATACTAGATGCAATGCAAGTCTCATTCTATCCCACAGCCCTCTTCTTTCCTTCTTTCCTCTGGTCCCACCTCTGCTGATCCTTCTTTCTTCTGGTCCCACCTCTGCCAATTCTTTTATGGTCTGCTGTGAAGCCACTTTCTCATTTAAAACTTCAGACTACTACACTTGCCACAAACTTTTCTATGGAACAATAACATGATAATATACTTAACAAAAATCTGAACAGTAATTTTGCAAAGTACATCAGAATTCACACATCAGAATTATTCTATAACAAGATCACTACCTTCCCCTTCCATCAGTTACTCCCCCCCCCTTACTCTCAAGAAATGCACGCAGGAATTATCTCTAGGCACATATGGATTTCAACTATTGGTATTAAAAACTTTTAAAGTTCACTTTCAGAAATGTCAATTAAGTGATTAACAGCACTAAGCTTTTGCTTCACAGCAAAAGGGCCTTTGAAGTTCACTGTGTTGAACAGGATTTAGGAGTAGCACTAGGTCCCCCATGATAAAATCATGGTGCTCTGCTTTTTCATGTCCCCTTGCCTTGGCCTGAACATCCCCAACCACCAACCTCATCAAAATGCCACATGCAGAAACACCCGCATCTTTACAGGAGTGTATCACCGCTAAACAAAAGGGGGAAAGTCCTTTAAAATCATTCTGGCTTGAGAAAATACAAGTAGTGGGGAACCATTTTGGAAGCTAAAAGGGTTGGCCCAATTCAAAGTGGCCTTTGTACTGTGTGGTCAATAAAAATACTTCAAATTCACCTGTTTTATAAGCAAAGCAAATCCCATGGTATTCAACCATGTAGTCACACTCAATGTCAATTCTTGGTTCAAAGCCAGCCTTAAATTTCGTAGTTTGAGTATGCAACAAATTGACATCATAGTTCCTTTTACTGGTTCCTTTTCCACTGGCCATTCAGCCTCATTGGATGCTGAGGATCTAGCATCCTGATAGAAGGAGAACATTTTCTCTAGCTGCATCATCTACATCCTGCATAATATTATACATTTCTGCAATGCCCCCCTTCACTTTTTTTGGAGACTAAGAAGCTCCCCCTCCACTGAAACTTTTCTTCATCAGTAATGTTGCGTCACACATCTTACAATATGTCTTAGACTTTGTTGGTTTATTAACTAAAAATCACACACCATCCCATAACAGATTACCTCAGTGTGAAAACTAGGCACAAAACACTTAACCATTTCATTCTATGAATGCATTAGACGGAGGATATCTGCAGGACTTTACTACTGTTAAATAAATCGTACTCTTTGTGGTGATTTCTGCTATATTTTAGGCTCTTATAATAGATGGTACGAAGAAAAGATGTGGAGGTGTTCTGCTTGCTCCATCTTGGGTAGCTACCGCGGCCCACTGCTTAGACCTCGTACGCAAAAAGGCACTCAGGATACGATTGGGTGAGTAGAGTCTGGCCCACTTTCTGAAACTCTGTGCAACTGAGCAAGAGAAAGAATCCTTGTTCTTCTGTGTTAAACCAACATAGGGCTCAACCCACATACTGTAGGTGGCCACATGTCACAAATAACCCTGGAAAAACTTTTTTTAAAGTTGAGATCATAGGCATTATTATGTCAAAACCACATTGTGAAAGACGTTTTTGTAGCTTCTGAGCATTTTCACATAGCAGATTTTTCCGCCTGCTCAGTTAGAAACCCACTTCACAGATGCTGTTCCCTGCAATGTAAATCCAGTTATGATAATCATGCCTAGCGGGTGAGTTCCTGCCATTATTGTGTATTGCTAACTTTAAAACTGGTTCATATCAGGAAAGTGTTCACTTTATATGATGGTTTGTCCATGGTGGTGATGTAATGATGAAAAGGAAATTAAACAGACCAGAAACGCTGATTCTTTTACTTCTTTTCTTTGTTTGGCTCGGAGAGAAAAATGTAAAGAAATTGTGCTGCCCCAATCCTACACGTAGAGACAGCCTGTGTGGCCTTGGGCAAATTGCACAGTCCTAGGTTGCCCCCAGAAGAAGGGAATGGCAAACCACTCCTGAGCACTCTTGGTATGGAAAGGGTTGCCATAAGTTAGAATTGAGTCATAGTCAAAAAAGGTAACTTTTCCAAGCACTGCTGAGTGCTGCGGTGTTGAGGAATCTTACTTTATAACTTTTATAACTTTTTCAGGTGAACACAGGATAAATCAGGAGGACGGAAGTGAACAGGAGAGGAGAGTAGCTGAAATGATAATCCACGAAAAATACTCTTCAAAGTCAGTTGACAATGATATTGCCCTGCTGCGATTAGCTTCACCTGTTAACTTCACAGACTACGTGGTGCCCATATGCTTGCCTCCACAATGGTTTGCTGCCAAAGTGCTGCACTATGTCGAATATTCCACAGTCAGTGGGTGGGGGCGCCTCTTAGAAGGTGGGGCGACTTCAACGACACTCATGCATGTGCAGGTTCCTAGAATGCATAAAACAGAATGCGTTCGGCACACTAATTTCAACATTACGGACAACATGTTCTGTGCAGGATACCTCAACGGGACTAGAGACGCTTGTGAAGGTGACAGTGGTGGACCCCATGTTACAGAGTACAAGAACACCTGGTTTTTAACTGGGATTGTGAGTTGGGGTAAGGGGTGTGCAGCAATTGGGACATACGGTGTTTACACGAATGTGGTAAAATATATCCCATGGCTGAACAGCCACATGGATTCCTAACTCAGAATGTTTGTCTCTATAGTGCTTCTCTTGTACTTCTGCCTGCTTGTCATTTTTGTCATCTCTGATCATCGCTCGGTTTCTATTTAAATTAAAGATATATATCAAATTAATACTTTAAATTTTTGTTCTTCATTAACACCAATATTATTTTAAACATTATGGCTGAGAGAAATGTCAGCTGCTTAATCATGGGGTTAATATTCCTTTAACCTTTTCTACAAGTGTATGGTGTCAATGTAAACAGAAAAATTAAGATTTCACTTTAGGGTTTCTTGTCCAAACATGTCTGTACCAAGGAGAGTGAACTGTTGTAAAAATACATTCTTCCATGCTTGTCCTTGAACACTGAGGGTATGTGGGGTGGTGGTGCATGCTTTATATCTCCCACTAAATTTAGCACACCTTCTTCCCCATACCTCAGAGTCTTTGGAACTGTCAATTTCTCCCTGGTGCTTCTTTTGTTAGCCAGCCTTTCCTCTTTTCTTCCAGCGTTTCCAAATATAGATATGTATAGATAAGAGCTCAACACAAGGCTATGTGCTGTAACTGCTTTTGTTTCCTTTAACCAAAAAGCATGAAGACTGATCCTTTTTGCTTTTCCAGGGAAAGGGGTGAGACTGGGCAGATCCTCCGACGCTTTTCTTTGCACTAAAAACAGAATAACTAAATTCCAAATCCTTCCATGATTAATATATTCAAGTCTAGTCAGTAATCTAGAGGTCCATGCCAACTAGATGTTAATATGGCAAATTCCATGCTTGTCGGAAGCATACGTGGGGAAGATGCAGAGGACTGAAAGAAAAGAAAAGAAAAGAAAAGACATATGAGTGCTCCACCACCACTAGCACCACCTTTAGGTTAACATTCTTCTGGTTTTGATGCTTCTCTGGTGGAAATATGATTGAAATATAAACTGGAGGAAATTATAGCTCCAGAAAGGGTACAGAGGAAAACAAGCAAAATGATCAGATGGCAGAATAATCAGAAATACTGCTGGGGGAAGAGGGTGTTAGTTAAAAACAGCTAACTAGGGAAACCCAAGAGGCTGGTTGGATCGTTCTGTGAGTTAGGTCTCTTGTTGCGGAGCCAAAGATTGGAAGTTCAGTCCCCCACTGTGCATCCCAGAAGGGCCAGCCTGTGTGGCCTTGAGCAAGCTGCACAGTCCCAGGGCACCCCCCCCCCAAGGAAGCGAATGGTAAGCCATATCTGAGTACTCTTCACCTAAAAAAACCTGGAAAAGGGTCACCATAAGTCAGACCTGACTGGAAGGCACACAATTACCATTATTAAGCAAATTTATTGCGATAGAGTTTGTGAAATAGATTTATGTAATCATCACCATCATCTTAGCACTGCAAAGATGGAAGGAGCCCTATGAAGTTCAGTCCCCGTCGAGGAGGCACAGTGGGGAGTTGAATTCCCAGCCTCTGGCTCTGTAGTCTGATGACTAAAGCCACTGAGCTGACCAGCTTCTCCTGCTAGATCTCAGGGACATGAAATGAAATTGATTAATGATTATGGAATAAACCCCTCAGGATATGGTGGCCATTCACCAAACTGATGTTGCAGTCAGACAGCTGCAAAGGAGCACACCTAATTGCACTAGAAATGGTCCCTTTAACTAGAGCAGCCTCTCTTATGAGAGAGATCTTCCCGTCTGCCAGAGGATTGCTCAAGCCCATCCCTAAAATATATAGAAGCCTCACAGCTAGAACAAAAAGGTCCATCTTGGGCACAGATTGGGGTCTGGCTACAGAGCATTTTCCCCCATGCACCATGCGATTGCTGGGAAACAGATTGCACCAGACTGCTCCACAAGGGGTCCAAACTGGGATCAGTTTCCTCGTGTGATCACACAGAATGGCAGTTGCCTTCGATAAGGAGACTCAGAGACAGAGCTGGTGCCTCAGTCATCCAGCTGCTCTACAGGCAGATATGTCAGTAATAGAGGCAGTTTTGAGGCCACTTCGCCCCATATTTCCAAGACATTATCCACATAATTGGCTGAGGAATGGCCAGGTTATGCAGGTGAGTGACAACAATGGCAATAACATCACTGCCATCACCACCCTCTTCCTTTCTTCCTTCAAGTGAGTGTTGTGCCATATGTAGAAGCATTTCTCTTCCTTCTTCTATTGCCACAATTGTGTCACATAAATAATACAGTTTGCATAATCAGTTGTAGCTAACTGATGAAGTGTTACGTGGCATCTCATTTGCACAATTGGGCATATGACCAGGCACACAATCAAGACATGACCCAGCACCTTGTCAATTATGTGCAATTAGCCACAGCAAGTTATGCAAACCTTTCTTAAATACAAAGAGGATTCTGACTATTAGGGGTGAGCCTTTGATGAAAGAAAGAACACACAGAAGAGGCTCTCTTTTATGTTTTCATGTTTTTTGTGTTGTTTATCAGATCACAGCCTCTAAAATACAAATAATGCATATTAGTGAAAAAAGATTACATCACAGCTTCATATTAATTTTGTCTCTTCTTTTGTGTAACCTTTCTTTCACCCTTTATGTCACATCACTTCATAATTATTTCCTCCAATAGTATTGCTTTTCTTGGGTTTTATGGCAAAGGCATGACACTAAGACCAATGAGGACTGTCAGCAGCCAGTCAGAATGTCTAGGGGCAGTAGGAATTTTGAATCCTTAGAAGGGCCTGGAACACAATGAAGAATGTTCTTTTTGCTTCAGTCATTCCTTGTGAGTAGGATTATAGTATATTGAGTTCTTAGAGCCCTCCATCACATGTTGCTGTCTCCCTGCATTCCTCTTGAATTCAAAGTTGTATTTTCCCCCTTAACTTGGGAAGGAACCTCCCCTCCCCCTATTTCTTTGGATTATTCTTGTTGCTGCCAAGGAGCCTGTCTTTGCTAATGTGCCTCCTTGGGATTACTTTTTGGCTCTCTTGATTTCTTTGGAGATAATCCCCCCACTATTTTGTTGTCCCCTTCCTTTCTTGGATCATTTTGATCCAAGAAAGGAAGGGCTTCCAGCTGCTGCCTCCTGGACTGAAAGAAGAGAATGCATCATGTATTAGAGGAACAGAAATATGTTCCAGCAATGTTGATTGGTGGGGAGCTTTTATTGCATATTTGTCTTTATTTGCTTATCAGCTTTTCTTGGGCTTTGGGAGACACAGACCTCCAGCTGCTGCCTCCTGGACTCAAAGAAGAGAATGCATCATGTGTTAGAGGAATAGAAATATCCTCATGTTCAAGCAATGTTGATTGGTGGGGAGCTTTGATTGTATTTTTGTCTTTATTTGCTTACCAGCTTTTCTTGGGCTTTGGGAGACACAGAGGTGGATCATTCCCTTTCCCCCTAATTTCTTTCTCCTGTGTAGGGGGGCATTTGCCTTGTTTGACTGTTTTTAAGAAATGTTATTTGCTTAATTTACAGTATATTTATTATGTTAACGATGTATGTTTTGATGAGTGGTTTTATTATTTTTCCTTCTCGTCTACTGTTGTGTGCTTTAAGCATAGATTGATTCTTGGTTGCCTTTCCTGTGCTTTTTGCAGGAGTTTTTAAGGGTTATTCATTCATTCATTCATTCATTCACTCACTCATTCATTCATTCATTCATACCCCACCCGTCTAGTCAACTGACTACTCTGGGCGGCTTCCAACACATATAATAACAATATAAAATATAACAACATTTAAACATCAGTAATAGAGTTATTCAAGATGGAAAGAAATAGGGGAGGAAAAGATAAATAAATAAATCAAATAATAGCTGAGGGGAAGGCCTGTCTAAACATCCAAGTTTTCAATTGGTTTTTAAAGATGCCCAGTGAAGGGGCCGCACGGATCTCCAGAGGAAGATTATTCCAGAGGTGAGAAGCTACCGCCGAGAAGGCCCGGTTTCTTGTTTTTTCCCTCCGGACCTCCCTCGGCGTCAGGCTCCTCAGCCTCACCTCCTGACTCTTTAGTGTTCTTAGGGCTTTTGAGGTACCAGGAAACTTTAAATGAAAGAATCTCAAAGAAGCTTTCTTTTTCAGCTTAAAATACAGAAACAAAATAAGCAACTGTTAAAAGAACCAAAAATCAAATAAATACTTTTTTTTTTACTCTGCACATCTCTTACTGCCCATCCTTTATAATTGCAATTGGGGATAGTGCAGAGGGGGTGGAGATCTCTTCTCCAGTTTCCCTGGCAGATTCTGCAATTGTAAACGAAATGATTATTGAATTTAAAATATTTGCATTAATTCATTATTTTCTTTGTCAAATAGACCAGAATGACACCAACAAATACAATGTTTTAAAGGCAGCATTTGAAAAGTATTTGTTGTTAAGCTTTACACTCAGGTTATGTGTACATTCCTGCTTGTAAAAGTGGCAACAATCATATGCATCCAATAGAAATTTGGTTTCATAACAAATAGTTCAAATATTTGAACCCTAGGTGTGCTTTTAGAAAATACCAGTCAGGGCTTCTGGAATAAAAGAATATAAGAACAAACAAGGCCCCAAATGCTCATTCTTTCATAGACTCTTTCAGAACTGTGTAAGATAGGGACTGGATTCAATGATTCATCAGGGCCCTTCCAGCTCAGAAGTTCAAAGGTTGTTATTAGGGCGAGGAAAACCCTCAGCTTGCCACAGTGATCCTTTTATTATCATACCCAGAATTTGAGGGACAGTCACACAACTGAAAATGACCCGTTTCCAGTCTGTCGGGGACAATTCAGTTTGAGAATTGCTTCCAGAAGTTTAGGTGTGAAACAAAACCAAAACCTTGAGAGAGATTTGTTTGGAGATGGGAGATTAAACTGGGATTATTCGCATGGCCCCTCCCCAAAGGACAATCACTATAGGATTAACATGGAAAGTCCTGTTAGTAGCAAAGTCCTTCCCTGAAGCAAAGCAAAATACCATAGTTAAGACTATTAACTGTGTTTCAGCCTCTTTGAAGTCAAAAGAAAGGTGATTTAGTTTGAGATACACACAGAATATCAATGATTAAAGGGAAATTCTGTCAACAAGAAACCTTTGCAGAAGGAGAGCATGTAAATAAATAAATGTTAATCTCCCACCTTTCAAAACAATCATTGTCAAGAGATTAGTTCTTCTCGCCCCTCCTTTATCACTTTCTATATACCTTCTCTGACAAATCTCCTGCTAATGTCAAGACTCCGTGCAAACTATCATTCTCCTTCTGACCTGTCTGGATGCATAGAAAATGCAGCCACAGAAGAGATCAGGGCTCAGCACTCAGCAATGAAACTGGGATTCTCCAGCGCCTGAATAGGGCTATAACTGAGAGTCAGTCCGCACTTTTATGACTTCTGTAGTGCATAGGGCTTAACAAAACTGATATTTCCTCTAGGAAAAGCAGAGCTTCAACAAAAAAGAAGAAAGTCTAAAACTCAACAAAGCCTGGCTCCCAGCACTGAAAAATACAGCCTGCAAAAGGTCAGTGAACTCTACCCAGCCACAAGGACCGGTGATCACAGCACACAAAAGACCAGCTAACGACACCCATCAATCACAGTGACAGATAATCTCTCCCCCTTATCACAACAATACACCCACAACAAAAACATGCTGATCACCATAATCACCCAATCTCCTGAAAAGGACAAAAGCTGATCCCACAGCTATAAATACTCAACTATCCAGCAAACTGCAACAGAGCACAGACAGATTTCTGACTCCTGTCCTCTGAAGATGGCTCAAGAAAGAGGTGCTGGCAGACAGCTTGATAAAAGTGTCAACCCAGTATACATTCGTCTAGACACTTTCCCTCTGGTCCAGGAACCAATGCACCAACCTCAGTTCTTCCTTCACTCAGGTTTTTCTAATAGAGTCCTCACTTCAGCAATGCAGATCCTCCTTAGCCAGCCTTCAGTGATTCAGTTCCACCATAGGGTCCTCTCAGATTCAAAGGGCCCAACAGTCCAAGCCTCCCCGAAAGTCGGCCATTTGCTACCAATCGGATTTCATGAAATGTTGACAATTCCAAATTAAATGTGATCAGTTTGGATTATCTATCATTCCAACTGGTCAAGTTCAAGCAGCTTGATAAAAGTGTCAACCCAGTGTGCGGAGGCACTGAAGTAGGCCAATTCCATGCTAAGTATCATTAAAAAGGGGATTGAAAATAAAACAGCCAACAGTCTAATGCCATTGTACAAAATGCTGGTAAGGAGTTCTGCATACAGTTCTGGTCGCTGCACCTAAAATCATTTTACAAAATGCTGGTAAGGAGTTTTGCATACAGTTCTGGTCGCTGCACCTAAAAAAAACCACAGTGGAACTAAAAAAGTTACAGAAGAGAGCAACTAAAATGATGACTGGGTTGGGACACCTCCCTTATGAGGAAGGGCTACAGTGTTTGGGGCTCTTTAGTCTAGAGAAAAGGTGCCTGAGGGGGGACATGATTCAGACATAAAAATTATGCAGGGGGTGGATAAAGTGGTTAGAGGGAAGCTCTTTTCCCTCTCATGCAATACCAGAACCAGGGGACATCCACTCATATTGAATGTTGAAAGAGTGAGAATAGACAGAAGAAAATATTTCTTTACCCATCATGTTGTTAGTCTGTGGAACTCCTTGCCACAGAATGTAGAGATGGCATCTGGCCTTGATGCATTTAAAAGGGGATTGGACAAATTCCTGGAGGAAAAATCCATCACAGGTTACAAGCTATGATGGAGATGTATAATCTCCAGGCTTAAAAGGAAGGTAACTCCAAATGCCAGATGCAGAGTGATATTAGGAGACAGGTATCTAGTGGTCTCGTGTGCTCCCAGAGGCATCTGGTGGGACCACTGTGAAATACAGAAAGCTGGACTAGATGGGCCCTTGGCCTGATCCAGCAGGACTCTTCTTATGTTCTTATGATCTTATGATGTCCATCTCATTGTCTTGGCAATGGGGAAGTTTGTTGAATGGTGACAAAACAGAGGGTCTTCCTGGAAGTATCCCAGCTGTGGAATGGCGTTTTCCAAGACGTTCATTGGGAACTAACCATGCTATTGCTTTGGTGACAGGCTGAGACTTACTTGTTCAGCCAGACATTTACCACTGACTAGCGCTGTAGTGGATGGATGGATTAGTTTATCAGAGGTGTGAGAGAGCTATTTATCTATTTAAATTGTTACCTTCCTGAGATTCTTATTTCTAATTATATAAATGGAAATAATAAAAACACAATTAAATAACCTACTGGGCCTTTGTGTTCCATTGCCCACTAAATCAATGTGCACCAGGTTAATAATTTTGAGCATGCTCACTCTAGTACTCTTATCAGTTTTGTAGCTCATGATCCCTTCCTCTTAGATTGGAAACAGGGAATCATTAAAACCTCACCCAACATTTCAACCTGGCTTCCCTTCCTCCAGGTCCACATATCCAGGTCCATCCACAGGGTGTGGGCCAAGCTATGGCTTCTCCAGTATGCAAAGCATATGATACAATCTCAGGAATGTTCACCCAACCGTCTACAACTTTTTCAGGGGCTTGCTTTGTTTTTCTGAATAGCGGTGGGGTCCAACACTCTTGCTAATAGCAGTAAGTGCAAAGCTTTCATTTTCTTCTTCAAATACACCAGAGACACACCTATAACTTTTTTTTTCCAAAAGAGAAAAGAAACATTTATTAGGACGAGAACAAATTGCTCTGCCTGTAGTGTTGATTTTTTCCAAAAGAGAAAAGAAGCATTTATTAGGACTTTGCCGAGAACAAATTGCTCTGCCTGTAGTGTTGTTTTGCATTTCCTTGTGAAGAACACTGCGACAGAGAGACATTATTCCTGTAAATGTAATCGTTTTTTTAACTTCTGATGCACTTCCTTTTTGCCTACATATCTGAGGCAAACAGCAGGGGGAAGCTCTCTTCTGAGGCATCAAAACCACCACACGTTTTTAATTTGCTACGGACTCTATGACCTTACTTGGAAAAGACCAGGATATCCAATCAGTCAGCACAATAATTTGGAAAATCCATGTCCAAACACAAACCCATTTGCTGTGTGTGATAAGAGCTACAGCATCAGCAGGAAGTGTGCTGCCTGAACCTTGTTCACAGCTAACCCTGAAGGGGAGCAGTGTTGTTTTCCACCGATAGACATTATGGCTAACCCATTGCTCCTCATTTTGATCATCAGTTCTCTGTCTAGTCTCCTGAATTCGGAAAGAAATGGTAAGAGTTTTGTTCATTTTCTTTTCTCTTTAAGCAGTTGGTTTCATTTCCTCTGAATAAGAATGATTCCCCCAGCTGTGTCAGGATGAGTGAGGATCACCTTAAAACAGATCTTCACTGAAATGGACATGGTCTTATATATTTTTAATGTATCTCACATATTTCGGATCAATATTCAAGTCTGTTATCTTAAGTAGGCAGCCTGCAATATAAGCCAGTTAAATTCAGAGTCCAGTTCTTTTTAATTAAACTGTAAAAATAAAGTACTTGTGTGCCTACACAGTGTGTGAGTCAGTCCAGTTCTGGGACTGTAAAGTACTATATAGTAAACAAGGAATTTCTAGATAAAATGACCCTGTACATCCATAGTATCTTCAGGGTGGTGAGAGGGAGACAAATATATACATACAATTAATAGAGCTTCTTCTTACAAATAAACGGTTCATTCAGAAGTTTTTGTTTTGGAGACTAAGCAAACAGCAGCACAGTTGCAACTTTAGCTCATCTGCGGTTTTGAAACTCATAACGAGCGGAGCACAGTTCTCCCTTTGAAAGCATCATGTTGACACTTCTTGCCAGGAAAATCAGAAAGGCTGTGTTTATTAGAGAAATGCATGTGAGATAGGGAAGGGTGAAAGAAGTGCTAGTTTTGGAGAACTAAAGTTGAAGATAAGCCATCTTGAGCAGTAGTTTGCACTATAAATGTAATAAATGAGTAAAGAAATAATAGATGTCAGGAGCCATGGCTATCCCTTTCATTTCTGGAGGACAAAGAAAATATGTTGTCTCCTTGACAAGAAAAGAGAAAGGTGAGTGAAAGAAGGAAATTATATCAGCAACCCTAACGTTGAAGAAGGGGCATAACATTTCTGAGTAAGTAAATAATCATCTAGGAAACCTGAGGAGGTCCTTCTCTCTTTTCTTCTCCATTCAAAATCATGCATCTTTTTGAGTATGTGTCTTGTTACACCTGGTCACTTCCAACAGTCAGGTGGCATTAGAATGTGAGATGAGGAAAGAATTATTTATTTCCTTCCAGCACCAGGAAGTGGTGGTGGATGTTGAGGCACCCTTCTGAGTGCATAATTGGTGGTTGTTGTTGTTTAGTTGTCCGACTCTTTGTGACCCCATGGACCAGAGCATGCCAGGCCCTCCTGTCTTCCACTGCCTCTCAGATTTGGGTTAAATTCATGTTGGTAGCTTCGGTGACACTGTCCAACCATCTTGTCCTCTGTCATCCCCCTCTCCTCTTGCCTTCACACTTTCCTAACATCAGGGGCTTTTCCAGGGAGTCTTCTCTTCTCATGAGATGGCCAAAGTATTGGAGCCTCAGCTTCGGGATCTGTCCCTTCCTGTGATCACTCAGGGTTGATTTCTTTCAGAATGGATAGGTTTGTTCTCCTTGCAGTCCAGGGGACTCTCAAGAGCCTCCTCCAGCGCCACAATTCAAAGGCATCAATTCTTCGGCGGTCAGCTTTCTTTATGATCCAGCTCTCACTTCCATACTTCACTACAGGAAAAACCATAGCTTTGACTATGCGGACATTTGTTGGCAAGGTGATGTCTCTGCTTTTTAAGTTGCTGTCTAGGTTTGTCATGGCTTTCCTCCCAAGAAGCAGGCGTCTTTTAATTTTGTGGCTGCTGTCTCCATCTGCAGTGATCATGGAGCCCAAGAAAGTAAAATCTGTCACTGCCTCCATATCTTCCCCTTCTATTTTCCAGGAGGAGTGGTATCATCTGCATATCGGAGGTTGTTGATATTTCTTCCAGCAATCTTAATTCCGGTTTGAGATTCCTCCAGTCCGGCCTTTTGCATGATGTATTCTGCATGTAAGTTAAATAAGCCGGGGGACAATATACAGCCTTGTCGTACTCCTTTCTCAATTTTGAACCAATCAGTTGTTCCATATCCAGTTCTAACTGTTGCTTCCTGTCCCACATATAGATAGATAAGGTGGTGAGGCACTCCCATTTCTTTAAGGACTTGCTATAGTTTACTGTGGTCTACACAGTCAAAGGTTTTGCGTAGTCAATAAAGCAGAAGTAAATGTTTTTCTGGAACTCTCTGGCTTTCTCCATAATCCAGTGCATGTTAGCAATTTGGTCTCTAGTTTCTCTGCACCTTCGAAATCCAGCTTGTGGTCGTACTGCTAAAGCCTACCTTGGAGGATTTTGAGCATAACCTTGCTAGCATGTGAAATGAGTGCAATTCTACGGTAGTTGGAGCATTCTTTGGCACTGTCCTTCTTTGGGATTGGGATGTAGACTGATCTTTTCCAATCCTCTGGCCACTGCTGAGTTTTCCAAACTTACTGGCATATTGAATGTAGCACCTTAACAGCATCATCTTTTAAGATTTTAAATAGTTCCACTGGAATGCCATCACCTCCACTGGCCTTGTTGTTAGCCAAGCTTTCTAAGGCCCACTTGACTTCACTCTCCAGGATATCTGGCTCAACGTTATCTGGATATCCAAATCTTTCTGGTATAATTCCTTTGTGTATTCTTGATGGTTACTCCACATTAAAAGTTCATAATGCATCTCCTCTCTATAATATCATGCTGAAGTTATCAGCAATTTTGCTTTGCTACTCCCACTGTATCAAGAAATGCAGATTAGATGGAGGGAAAAATTTTTAGAAGTTCTAAATGAGTGTAAGATAGTTCTGAAAACTGTGGGACTTGGCCAGGTCATGTGAGAAGAATGCAGAGAGAGAAAAGCTGGAGGAGAGAATGATAAAACTCAGAGAGACCCCAATGAAAGAGAAAATGAGGAAGAACCTCCTGTAGATTAATGTAACATGAGTGATCTGACCAGGTGAGAACAGAATTAGCTTTATCTAAAACAGCAGAGAGGTCAAGGAAAACAGGAAACGTTTGATCCAGGGGTCAGAGAATAGTTGGTAACATCATTGTTTTTAGAGGACAGCGGAACATGGGGATGGGGATTCAGATGGCTGTAGCAAGTGGAAATGAGAAAGAAAAGACTACAGGGAGTAAACTGCACACTCTGAAAAATCAAAGGCAAAAGGAGTGTGAAATTGCCAGTTAGGAGAAAACAGATTAAGGGAACTTCTTTCGTTAAGATCCAAACGGATAAGCACCTTGAACATAACACACCAGACATAGTAGTAATAGAATGAAGAAATGTCCGGATCATTGAGATTGCAATTCCAGGGGATGCCAGAGCTGAAAATAAAGAATTGGAAAAACTAACAAAATACACAGTACTGGCAATCAAAACATCTCACTTCTGGAAGAAACACACTTCAGTGGTCCCTGTAGTCATTGAGACTTTGGGAACAATATAAAAAAATTTCACACAGTATTATATGCAGTGGCAGATCTCAGAAGTCACACCACCGGAGCTACAAAAAACGGCAGTATTAGGAAGAACATACATACTGTGTCAACATTTAACAGATACTTAGGTTTTTGATTAAAACTTTATCTGTTATATAATACCAGTCAATGTTTTTATAATTTTGACTGTGCCTGGTGTTGTTGTTGTAATCATCGTCATCGTCATCATCATATTTTATTTTATTTATTTTCAAGATTTTTAGCCACGACATTACCAATGGTCTCTGAGCAGTGTACAACAATATTAAAACTTTAGAAAAAACATTAAAACCAGTAAAAATTCTGAATGTTATAATAATACTATATATTAGAACAGTACGTTTATCATTAATAAACCTTGCTGCTCATGTGGACAGCTAAAGAATACTATTTAATTAAAATGCTGTTTTTAAGCTGCGCCATTACCAATGGTCTCTGAGCAGTGTACAACAATGTTAAAACTTTAGAAAAACATTAAAACCATTAAAATAGGCGATATTATAATAATACCCTATATTAAAACAGTCAATTTATAATTAATAAATCCTACTGTTCACAGGCCAGCTAAAGGACAGTATTTAATTAAAATGCTGGCTAAACAGAAAGGTCTTTGCCCAGTGCTGAAAATCCAAAAATGTTGGAGCCAGGTGGATCTCTATAGGGAGGGTGTTCCAAAGTTGGGGGGCAACAGACGAGAAGGCCCTTATTTCTACATGCTACCCCCCTCATCTCTTTCAGGGATGGCACCTTCAGAAGGACCTCCTGGCCTGATCTTAGAGTATGGGCAGGCTTGTATGGAATTTTATTTATTTATTTTATTAAATTTATACCCCGTCCCTCTAGACCAAAGTCTAATCTGGGCGGCTAAGAATAATAGATAAAATAAAAACAATATAATAAAATAAAAAACAACAGTAGTAATATAGTTCAAGATGGGCGTTAAGTCCCTCAGCCGCCCTTCCTAGCAAGAACAAATTGCGGAACAAGGCAGTTCTTTAGGTAACCAGGTCTTAAGCTGTTTAAGGCTTTATATGCCAAAGTAAGCACTTTGAATTGGGCACAAGCAGCAACTGGCAGCCAATATAAATTTTTCAGAACCAGCGTGATATGAGTCCACGCAGCGGCACCACTCACCAGCCGCACAGCCCAGTTCTGTGCCAGTTGCAGTCGCCGGACCGTCTTCAAAGGCTGTCCCACGTATGGCACATTGCAATAGTCCAGTCTGGTTGATACCAGTGCATGTGTGACTGTTACCAGGCTCCACTCATCCAGGTAAAGGTGAAGTTTATATATTCTCCGCAGCTGTAAAAGCAAAAAGTGTGCTGCTTATATACCGCCCCATAGCGCTTCAAGCACTCTCTGGGCGGTTTACAAGTTAGTTATGCAGGCTACACATTGCACACACCCCCAACAAGCTGGGTGCTCATTTTATCGACCTCGGAAGGATAGAAGCCTGAGTCAACCTTGAGCCGGCTATCTGGGATCGAACCCTAGGTCGAGCACAGTTTTGGCTGCAGTACTGCACCACGAGGCTCCCCTGGAGAAGAAGAAGGCACCCTCGGACACCAAAATGGTCGTAAATCAAAGCATAATTTCCCACAGGAATGCATTGGAACGCAGTTAATCTGTTCCTGATTTTGGGGGGGTGGTTTTACAAAAAAACAAAACAAAACACTGCAGGCCCCATCGGAATGTGCTGGGGCTGGAAACACACACACCAAACATTAAAAAAATCACAGCACAGAAACATAACCCCCCAGCCCAAGCCCATGCTGCAAAACCTTGTAAATATACTTACTCAGAAGCAGAAAGCAGCACCAGGCAGTCCGAAGCCTCCACCAACACACACTCTCTAACTGTTGGGGCAAAAGAGCTACAAAGCAGCAGCCTCTTCGCCGATCAATGGTTAACAATTTAAATTCCCCGTGTGGTGTCTACCCTAAGTTATGTATTATAAGTTATGCATTATTCATACGTTGTATATGTTAATATGGTTGTGAGGCGGAGCCAAGGGGGCTGCTGAAGAGGCGGAGCCTGGGGGAGAGAAGTTGAGTCAGAGTCAGAGAGAGCGACAGAGAAGGATAGTTTGGGGTTTGGAGGCAGATACTGTTTAAAGGCAGGGGTGTCCAACCTTTCACCTTCCCTGGGCCACATTAGAAGATGAAAATTTGGTTTGGGCCGCACATAAATTTGGTTTGGGCCGCATGGGGGGCAGCCCTAGCCATCCTCCGCAGCCCCGCTCCAAGCACGCTTACCGGCAGCTGCGATCTCAGACAGCA